TCGCTTATAAATTGACTCTTCCAGCTGAGAGTTTGATTCATCCAGTGTTTCACATTTCAGTGTTGAAACAGTTTTATGGCAATGATGCACGATGTGAACCTCTACCAGCTGAGATTTTGCAGAACAAACCGGTTCAACATCCCATTGCCATTTTAGATTCGCGTGAAGTGCCTCTTAATGGTAGGAAGAAGCAGCAACATTTGGTTCAATGGTCAGCCACAGTCCCTGAAGATGCTTCATGGGAGGATGCTGAGTTGTTGAGTCAAGCTTATCCACAGTTGCACCTTGAGGACAAGGTCACAGTCGAAGAGAGGACAGTTGATACGGTAGCAGGGAAAGGAGTTAGGATGAGAGGTGGGCCAAGTTGGGTCAAGGACTATGTCTTGTAAAGTCTAAGACCAATAGAGCCCAATGTTGTTGGTATGGTTATGATTAGTTAATTGATAGGAGAATTTAGTGAGAATGAGGTTTATGCCAACGTGGCATTTGTAAAGGTCTATAAAAGGAATATTGTGGTATTGTTGAAGGGCATTCAGTTAATAAAAGTTGTTGGTAGTTACAGCATACAAACTCACGTTTGTATCACATCGCTGACCAGTGTATTTGATCAGCACGTGCGACTATGGTGGCCAATGGTGAGGCTTGGACAGAGGTGGTAGCCGGGACAAGATGAGTCGAACCGTGTATGCATGGGTCGGTCGAAAATGTTGTCATAGAAGTTGGTAGTCAATGGCAATGACGTGACCAGAGATGAGATTGACTTAGACATGAGACGTTTGCGAAGACGAAGAAACTGGAAACCGAGGGGATGACATAGTTTACGAAAAAAAATTATCACCGATACGCAGTGGGCTAATGGGTGAGTGCGAATTAGGATTGTCCCTTGTTAAGGCTCTTAATACCATGTTGAGAGAAAGGAAAGTGAAAGACATACGACTACACGATGTAATTTGCATGCTTTGGATGAGTAGTGGAAACACTATTATATAATTGAGTAAAAAAATATACACATGAAAATTAATTACATGATGTGAAATTTTGTCTCATATACTATATTATTCTATATACAATACTTTCAACGCTTTCTATGTGCTTGATCTGGTAACAATCAAGTAATGATTTAGGGCCAGAATTTTGCGTCCATCCCTTTCCACTTGCAGCTAGGGTATGATAAATAGAAGATTGAGATAGATAGTAACAGTACATGGTGGAATGGTTCTTGGATTAGTGGTTAATGGTGTGACTCAAATACCAAAACTCTCTTTATCTCCCTCTTCCTTCTTTTTTCTCTTGTGACTCTCTCTCTCTCTCTCTCTCTGCCCCTCTCAATTCTCTAAATCCCTTCCTATAATTTATTTTTGCTTTATTTAACAAAATATGGTAGAAGAAATGGTTATTCCATCAGGTATATGCATGGTAGAACTAATAAAGTGTTCGTCAATTTAAGAATATGATCTCATACAATCTTATAAATTAATAAATTCATATAAAATATATAACAAATATAATGACTTACAGGTTTTTATCTTTAACAATCTACTTCAAACCTTGTGAAGGATACTTTTCTGGGAAACAGTTTAACCTTATTAATAGGCATTTTTCATTAAGAGTCATACATTTTCATCAAAATTAAGAGTTTTGTTAAGTGAGCTTTTGGTCATAAATAATTAACATATGTAGGCATTATTTCAAATGAATAATTTGGGCTATGGAACTTTGCTCGCTGTAACTGCACTTGTTGTATGAATTCACTACGTGATTGACTTTGCTTCCAAGTAAATAATGATCAATGATGCTGTGCATGGTCATGGAATGCATAATTTTCATACGCGTGGCAGGAAATGATCAAAGATGCTATGCATGATCTTGGAATGCATAATATTTGTTGTAAATAGTAGTTTAGAATAGTAGTATAGAAGTCTCACATCATGTATATTTCTTTATATTTTCTTTTTTTTGAGTTATATAATAGACTCTCCGCTGTGTAGTTAAGACACACGGATTCCTTATAAATCTTCTTGTTCTTAATATTTAACATGGTATCAGAGCGGTTTTTCAGCAAAAATAACCAAGTGTTTCGAGAATAATCGTCAATAAAGGTAACAAAATATCTATAACCCCGAGTTGATTCAGTACGACTGGGTCCCCAAACATCAGAGTGAACCAAACTAAAAGGAGAGGAGGCACGACGATTGACTCTATTAGGAAAAGAACTGCGAGTATGTTTCCCGAATTGACATGATTCACATTGCAAAGTAGACAGCTTGGACAAACATGGTACCATCTTCTGGAGCTTTGTAAGACTAGGATGACCCAATTGAGCGTGAATAGTGAGTGGAGAATCTAATACAGAATGAGCATGAGAGGAGCTGGAGAGCAGGTAAAGGCCATTGGACTCAAATCCGCCGCCAATTGTCCTCCTCGAATTTCGATCCTGTAAAACAACAGAATTTTGGGTAAAAGAAATGTGACAATCAATAGAACGTATTAAACGGCTAATGGAAAGGAGATTAAAAGGTGAACCAGGGACATAGAGCACATTATCAATAGTAATGGAGGAAAAGATATGTATTGTTCCAATCCCATGAGACTGAACCTAGGAACCATTAGCCATAGTGACAACAGGCAAATAACCAGAGGTAGAAAGAGAGGAAAACAAAGATTTATTACCAGAAATATGATCAGAGGCACCAGAATCAAGAACCCAATGACTAAATGATGAACTTTGAGTGAAACCAGCAACGCTATTACCTGTATGCACAACAGTAGCAGTGGAACCAGTGATCGTGAGCCGAGAAATATCTTGAGGAAGGATAAATGAGCTAGAATCAGCCATGGATCAAGAACAATTCGCTGAAACAAAGATGTCGTGAACAGTAATGGAAAAAGGAGAAATGCTTTAGTGGGAATTTAGGAGCGGGCCTTGGACGGAAAGAACCGCCTCTTTGTGACGATCACAGCTGTGGGTGGCTCGCCGGAAAAAGTGCCTAAAAAGTGATCGGTGGTGACGGTCAACGGCGGTCAAATGGTGGTCACGACGCTGGCAACCTCTGATGACGGTGGGTCTTGCGGCGTTGGGTAGATCGGCTTCTTCTTAGTCCGTTGATGTACTTTTTGATCAAAACGGGCGCCGAAAATTTTTTCCGGTGGAGGACGGTGGTGGCAGACGGTGGCCGGAAACTGACGATGGTGACAGTTTCCGGGAAGATTTTTACTCGGTAGACAGTGGGTCTACCGAAAAGATGCGGATCTTGTTAGGCTCTAGATACCATGTAAAGAACCAATTCAACCCAAAAGCTTAAGCTGTTGGGTGAGGCTACATTAATGATTTTATATATTTCAACACATATGATTTATATGCTCCAGCTTGAGGGGGAGTGTTGTAAATAGTAGTTTAGAATAGTAGTATAGAAGTCTCACATCATGTATATCTCTTTGTATTTTTTTTTTTTTGAGTTATATAATAGACTCTCCGCTGTGTAGTTAAGACACACGGATTACTTATAAATCTTCTTGTTCTTGATATTTAACAATATTCATGCACGTGGCGGGCGATTTCATTCTCAGCATTAACGCGTTTTTTTCTTAATATAACAAATGTTTGATTAAAGCAGAAGATCCAGAAAACATGTTGGTATTTTTGACCTATCTTGCTATATTCCAACAAACATATGGGATCGATATTCTCAGTTGATGAATAAGTTTTTTGTGAATATTTCAATGTAAGAGAACGGAATTCATTAAGATACCTACCTTCTATAACACATTTTCAAGGAGTTGGTGTAGTAGCAAGTCACAAACTAAAATTCTAACTAAAATCATTACTTGAAGATTTTATTAAGGTTTAAGCAAATTAGCCTAGATACCCGTTAAATGCAATACAAAAACAAAAGAAAAGATAGTGCTAAGAAAATTTCTTTACTCACTTCATGGTCTCAAAAGTTTCCAAGGAAAAAGAAAGGTTTTCAAATATTTCGCTCGAATGTCTCAATTTGTGTATTCAAAGACTCAGTAGCTAATGAGTCCAAAAAAAAAAGACTCAGTAGCTAAAAAAGGAATAATTTTAGCAAGTCAACATATATTTGGAAAAATACAGCTTTCAGCCTAACACATACAAATTATATTTAATAATTGATCGAACGAGTCATATTTAGCTGTTCATTCATCACTTCATTTTTTTTTAATAAGTATTTCGCGCGTGTACAAGAAAAATATAATGTATTAAGAAAAAAAAAAAGAACAAATAATAAAATTATAAGAAAATATGCCTAATTAGTTTAGATGAAATAAAAAAAATATAGAGTAAAAGAAAAATATTTAAAATAAAAAAGAATATATAATTAATCTAACAGAATTTGAATCCAATATTTAAAAAAAATTAACAATAATATGTATCAATCTTTAAAAGTTGATAGGCCAAGAGATTAAGTAACTCTTAAGATAATGTATTATATATTTTTTTTGGTAGGTAATGTATTATAATTTAACATATAGAGGCAGAATATATAAAAGGTAGATAATTTTTAATCTTCCTAACTATTTTTTTTAATCTCATAATTACTAAATAAAGAAAGTATTAATAGAATATTAAGATGATTATTAGCACCATATAACAAACTCTCTCTTTTTTTTTGGAAATATTTCATCGGTTCATCGCTTCGCGATTAGTCCGATTCGGGGCGGGTCCAGGATTGATGCTTTAAACCCCCCTAAAGGTGGTACTGGGAAGGTTCGAACATATGCCCTCACCCCCACCTGCTCAGCTCCCATGCGCCAACTGAGCTACCACCATTTTGTACCATATAACAAACTCTTTTCTATATTCAAATAACTGTTTCTGATTGGCAGCAAATATTGACTAGAGAAATCCACAAACTAGACCCCCTATATAAATATGTGATGCACTTAAAGACCTTACCACAAGCACTAATCATAAGCCTCTCGATCCTGCATCTTCTTTTTAGCATACTTAAAAATTATATAGAATTCCCATTAACACCATGGCCGCGAGTTCTTTCTCCATGACCATTACAAACTTCAAAATTCACTTTATCTTATTCTTATGCTTTAGTGGGATAGTCTCAGCTCAGTTGTCCTCTGATTTTTACTCCACAACGTGTCCAAATGTGCTTTCAACCATTAAGACAGCAATAGACTCTGCTGTGAACAATGAGGCTCGCATGGGGGCATCTTTGCTCCGTCTCCATTTCCATGATTGCTTTGTTCAAGCAAGTCAACTTTCACTTCTTCTTAATCTTCTTTTTCTTCTTCTTTTATTTTTTATTATTTCAAATTCCATGTTCTTTAAAACTTGATCACCTAATTAATATATGCATGAGTTGCATTAGCTGAACATAAAAATACACGCATGCATGCATATTTATCACGAATTATACACTACGACAATTAATTTCATGAATTACGAGGCGGTGCTAGTTTATTTGTTTTTCTAACAACAACAACAACAAAAAGTTCTTAAAGAGTCACTTCAATAGATGATAGCATTTTTAATGATTTATATTATTCTCTAACATATCCTCCACGCACGAGTTCTTTGGGCTTGAAATGTGAATATTGCATAAGTCCAATGTTTTTAGTTTTACCTTATACTTATTTAATTCTACAAGCGAAGAACAGTGAAGTCGAACTCATGACCTTATGGTCACTGAAGATATGATACCACGTAAAGAATCACTTTAACCTAAAATCTTAAAATTTTGAATGAAAGTCTTTTTAATAGTGTATATTATGCAAAAACTTTTGTATTAAAAATATCTTAAATTCACATCATACATAATAGTACGTATCTTAGTGTAATCAAATAAAAAAAGTATTCCTAAAGAAATATCATTCGTGACAAGTGGTTAAAAAGTATTTCATAATGTATATAAATTATTTTAATGATTTATAGAAGAAAATTATATTTTCTTTGAGTTCTAATGTATTAATCTGATCTATTTTCTGCTGGACTAGTCCACTAGCATTTGTTTCCCAGTGGCCAACGATGTAATGTTAGTAGACAATGTCAAAATCGTTCTTTTATTTATTATATTTACTCTTTTTTTAATGACAATTGTGCGTTATTTCTTTGGTAACTAGTGATAAATGACGCCTAAATTCAATTTTTTATGCAAATTAATTTTCATTTTTGTTCTTCCATCTTGTCATTGATTTTCAGGGATGCGATGGATCAGTACTATTGGACGATACATCGACTTTCACAGGTGAGAAGACAGCGTTTCCCAATGCTAATTCGCTCAGAGGTTTTGACGTAATAGACACCATAAAGTCTCAAGTTGAGAGCTTATGCCCCGGTGTTGTCTCTTGTGCTGATATCGTCGCTGTAGCAGCAAGAGACTCAGTCGTTGCTGTAAGTATATGAATTATGTGTAAAAATTTATCAATTTGTGTCTTCTACTTGTGGTTCACATATATTAGGGTTAAGGGTGCTCACCTTTATCTATTATTAATAAAAAAAATTAATTCTTCGACTCCCTTTCAATGTTGATATTTCATTTTCAGAGTCTTCACCTTTTCTACCTTATATCCTCTTGTGATAGGGATGTCATATAATCTTATGCTCGGGGTTCTACGTTTTCTATATTTTTTTTTCTAAAAATAAGAGCCACTTTCATATCTTTTAGCCAAAATTACCCCTATGTCTTTTATTCATTGAATCAAAATTATTTCGGTTAGAAAAATATAAAATTATTAATATAATCTCAACCAACTGCTTAAGTTGTTAGATGAAATAATTATTTTATATGGTGATCTCATCACCTTCACTTTCTAGCAGAAGTAAGTCAGCACAAGGTAAAAGGAATATATTAAAGAGATATAATATAAAATTATTAATGGATCTCATTTCTAAGTTTAAGTTTTTGAGTTGAATTGGAAATACTAATTGTATCTATGAGACACGTATAGGTCTTACATTATGCTCTAATTAATATTGAAAAAAATTATCAGCTTGGTGGACCTAGTTGGACAGTGCAATTAGGCAGAAGAGACTCAACCACAGCAAGTTTAAGTTCTGCAAACTCAGACTTGCCAGCTCCAACTTTGGATCTAAGTGACCTTATCACTGCTTTCTCTAACAAAGGTTTCACAGCTAAAGAAATGGTTGCTCTATCAGGTACCTAGCTAGATGCATATTAAATTATCAAATCCTGTTAAAAATCTTGAGGTCATAACTCCAAAAGCTAGCTCAAAGGGTGAGAGTGTTCAAGGCCTTATAAACCTCACATTAGTTGTCCATACAACCAATGTGGGACTATATTTCTCAACACTCCCTCTCACACGAGAGCCCACTGGGCTTGAAGAGTGGACAACATACAAACTCACCTACATGTGGAAATTTCACTACAAAAAAGTGGGAGGCGGTGAGATTTCGAACACTCTAATACCATGTTAAGAACCTTGAGGTCACCACTCTAAAAGCTAGTTCAAAGGGTGGGAGTGCTCAAGGCCTTATAAACCTCACATTAATTGCTCATACAACCAATCCAATGTGAGATTATATTTCTCAACAAACACCATTCTATACTTGACCATTGTAATGGTGAGCTAGCAATATATCATTACATTATTAGATGTCATTATATAATGATAATTTATCATTATAAGTTTATAATTACTTTTACCATGCATTTTTAACTTTTATATTTTTAAAATATTTCAGGATCTCACACAATTGGCCAAGCTAGCTGTCGAAACTTCAGAACAAGGATTTACAATGAGACCAACATAGATTCCACCTTTGCAAAATCATTGCAGGCAAATTGTCCTAGCACAGGTGGTGATAGCAATTTGTCCCCTCTTGATGTCACAAGTGAAAACAACTTTGACAATGCATACTTCAAGAACTTGCAGAGCCAAAAGGGACTCTTCCACTCAGACCAACAACTCTTTAATGGAGGATCCACAGATTCTCAAGTGAATGCTTATAGCAGCGACTCTGCAACTTTTATGACTGACTTTGCCAACGCAATGGTTAAAATGGGAAACCTTAGCCCACTCACTGGCTCTAGTGGCCAGATTAGAACCAACTGCAAGAAGATCAACTGAGTTTTTGGGCCTTTATGGATATATTCCTAGTAACTCGAACTCGAGACCATTAGTTAAATTGGAATTATTTCTTATTAGTTGATCCATATATTTGGCGTTAGTTACGTGTTACTCAATTGTAATATTAAGTTTTAATTTTAATATGGATCAATAAGTTATGAAGCAGCAACTACCCATGTTATCTCCTCGATATCAAAATTTGAAGACGTTATTATAATGAAATATTATACTTCCTTGATACTTATGTTTTATATTAGAAAATAGGTATAAATGAACAAAAGAATTGTATTCAGCTTGTTTTTATATCCTAGTTCCTACACAGAGGTCATGTACGAAGTAGGACAAATTAAACAACTGCTTTTACCTAGCTTATGGGAACAGCTTATTCACTTTATAAACGTAAAACAAAACAAAAAATTGTTGAATTTTTTTTTAAAAAAATATTAACGTCATAGATGTCCAAGTGATGCACTTGGTCTGAATGTAAAGTTTCTTTGATTGACAATAATTATATTTTTATTTCGAAAGAAATATCACCACCCGACCTTAGCTCAGTTGGTAGAGCGGAGGACTGTAGTAGGAAACGTTCCAAGCAGATAATCCTTAGGTCGCTGGTTCGAATCCGGCAGGTCGGAATTTTGCATTTGTATTTTTATATTCCTTTATTATTATTGGTATATATTCCATTATTATTTAAGTTACACAGTAATTGCATTGAACAGAGTCAAAATCAACTAAATGTGAATTTAGTGGGTCCAACCTCTCATTTTTTTTAATTAAATTTAGTTTTGACCTTGAAATCACGTGATCTTTTGATTTTAATCCTTTTGAATACTCTACAGAAACATATCGTGGCGCAACAACTCCTTTTTATCTTGATCTATCGAGTTGTTTTGGTTCGCATGAATTATTTTTTAAATATTATAAGATGTCAGGAATACTCATCAAAATGTCACTGTTCACCAAGTTTTCTACCCAAATGTCACGCGAAATTTCTAATATGCCATGTGAGCAAGTTCGTTGGGCACTATAGCGAACTCGGTTTGCTGACGTGTCACGTTTTTAGTGAATACCAAATACCAAGTTCGCTACCTGGGGTAGAGAACTTGGTTGGAATGCATAATTTTTATGTATTGCAACCAAGTTCGCTACCCCAAGTAGCGAACTTGGTGTCCACTAGAAATGTGACACGTCAGCAAATCAATTTCGCTATAGTGCCCAGCGAACGAGCACATCTTTAGTGCTACTGGAGTGTGTACTCCTTTACTAAAAATAGAAAAGGGTGATGGTTTAGGAGAAAATAACTATACAAGAAAGGGTAAAATGGTAAAAAATAATATTGTTTCAAATTAAGTAAATGATGCACTGAATTTTCAGTACTCCCGTAGTACTGAAGATATTTTCCCAGCAAACTTGCTCACGTGGCATATTGAAAAATAACACTGTCCGCGTGGCATTTGAGTAAAAAACTTGATGAACAGTGACTTTTGGTCATTGTTCCGAATACTTCTGTCATTTAAAGTAAAAGAAGTTTTTTCTCTAACTCAAACAAGAAACGTAGAGTCCACAGGTTAAAGAAATAATAATAAAAAAAATGTTGGCACATTTTTTATGTTTGTGTGATATGAGTAGAGCCGACAAAACGAGATCGGCTCAGCGGGCCAACCCGCCAAACGGGGCGGGGCGGGGCGGGCTAAGTTTTTCAACCCATCTCAAAAGCAGGGCGGGACGGGCTCATTTTTTGGCGATGGCGAGTTGAGGCTAGTCAGTGTAAAATAGGTTCGGGCTGGCGGGCCAACCCGCCAAACGGGACGGGGCGGAATGAGCTTTTCAGTCCACTTTCAAAAGCGGGCCAGGCAGGCTGACTCATTTTTTGACGGGTTAATGGCGAGGTAGACCGGGTCTGGCTGGACCGCCCACTTTGCCACCTCTAGATATGAGATTGCTTTCTCCTACGGCTGAAAAAAATAATTTTCCTTATAAGATATAAAAAAAATTAATATTTCTCGTGTTGCAAGAAATAATTTTATTTTCAACACATATAAAAAGGGAAAAACTATTCTCATGTCACATGAGACAAGTTTTCTCTCCTATACACCCTTCGATAACTGTGCCACCTTTTTCTTTTCTTTTCTTTTTTCAGGTGGTGAAGCCCACTAATTTTTCTCTATGACATGAGATAACTATCTCATTTAACATGAGATTAATAAAACTCATATAAAAATATAAGAAACAAAACACATATGTCTTTGAAGATATCCTTACACCGAACAGAACCATGGACCTCCTAGACATTTTAGTTGTGTATCATTGTTGATGTTGCTCGCTATTAGGTTCACATGTTTCTCTTTTCTTCTGTTCAAATATACACTTTAATACAACTTTTGTTAGGAAAAACTTTTCAGTCTAACGCTTGTACACCACGCCATTTATGCATGACTAAATTCAAGCTAAACTTGCCACTGAGCCATTTAACATAGAAAAATTTTATCTTGATAAAATATACATAATTTGTTTCGATCCCTTTTCGATAATCCTTTCCCATTAGATCGTTATACAATGTTAACAAGTTAAATAAAGGATTCAAAATCTCCCAACGAGAACAAGCAAAAAGGTAGAAAAAGAATCTGCTACTGGCAACAACGAGACAAAAAAAACGACTCTATTTCTTCAGCGGACAATGTTAGTATCAGTTTATTTGCCATTAAGATATGAATTGATGCATATTTGAAGATCATGATACGAGAGGGAATGTGAACCAGCATTCTCCATAGAACAAATTGACGTCAAAATGGGGACACCTCTCATTCATTACCTGCCTCAGAAAGGCATGCATCCAACATGTATTCCTATCGATGTTAACGTTAAGTAAACATCAATCTCCCTTCATAAGGAAAAAGGAAGATACAATGCGTTCAGTATTCTAAACTCTTCCCCCAAAGGAGGCTATTTCCCTCAAGAGAACAGTTTTTTGTTTATCAAGTCCCTCATACCCTGTCACTATCCTTTCTAATCAAATGACCAAAATGATTGTGCATCTGAGGTTGGATGTAAAACGCCATTATGGGGCCTTGCAACAGATGACTTCCCTATGCTTTCCATAGAACCATGTATAGGCCATTCATTTCTGCAAGGTAAACATAGATCATAAGCTGTTGAACTACCAATAAAGGCATGAGTTTTTTATTTAGAAAATAATAATAACACCATAAACAAAACAGTTTAAACTGTTTATATTACCACTAGAAATGTATATGAGAGAAGATCACACGTAACAGAATCAAAGAGTAAGAACACATCCAAAACAATGCGGGTACAAGCATCATGCCAATAGCAGTCAAAAGGGTCACACAAAAAGCAAGGCTTTGCAAGACATGCAGACTTCATCATTATATTACATTAGGTAAAAGAATATATTTTCATTTAGCTTTCAGTTCCATTATGATTTTTGGTTTCTTTATTTGTCTAGTTCAACAAGTCAGCAGTTTATGACAATTTTGCTGCTGATATATCTATAAAGCTATGTTTAGAAACAATGATCAAATAGATTACAACAAGGACTTATCAATGAACATGCTTAAATACCACTTAATGACTCAAATCAAGTGGCAGAACAGAAGAGAAAAAAATGGGTATGAAAGTATATTGTCCAATACCAACTGAATCACTCCTTGTCCCATACCAGCACATAATTCATTCATTTCATTTCATGAATAAATCAGCCTATGATCATACAGATGTATCCACACAAGCATTTGACTTGCAACTAAATCCATTTTTACTAAACGAAACAGCATAAAAAAGGTCATTCAGAGCTGAATTGAACGATTTCATTGGTTATACTTATATGTTACACATTCATAGAAATCCTACATCAAAGGTTTCTATTTCAATCAAAAAGGCAAAAGTACCTTTCATATGTATCAATATGTGGTCCATTGACATCAGAAAAGCCAAAATTAGGGAAATCTTGACATGAGCTGTGATACTATAAGCCCACATAGAGAGCATCAATTTCAATTTACTTCACCTCACATCCCTGTTCAATTTGCTATTCCTGATTCTTCTCTTAAGAAGCACAGGTGGGTGATGATAACACAAACAATTGCAGCACATACCCAGCCAATCAGCTTCATTCATCACATCCTAGTTACGACTATATTTTGTTTCACTCACAATGTTTTCTATTTTCACTTTATTATAGTATATAATTAGTCAAACAATCGAACTATTACCAATAAGCATCAAAAGTAGTTCATCCACATTTCAAACATGAAATGAATATAACTTTGTTTAATACTATTCATGCTTGCTTGTGAGCCTATGTATCTAACTTTGCCTTTACAAGTCTGCTTTACTAGGGCAATATGCACTCTCCTCTGGATCAGTAAGAGTTTGACTTCTTAAAATTACATTTTGATTGACCAAGTCAAATTATCGATTAGCAACCCATATCTCCAAAACAGCCTACTGACCACAATTAAGGTAAACATAGCACATAAATACCAAGACACATGATTGTGCGTCGGAATGTTTTATTATCGTGTCAGATGCAATACAAACATTACACATAGGGTTGTACAAGTCATTGCTTGTAGAGAGAAACCAAGCGCTCTGTCATCGTTCCATCACTTTTTATAGATACATCATTCATGCATTTTTTTCACCACTAAAACCAAACTTCATCCCCACCAAGTATCATCACGATGATAGCAAGATGAGTCTAAATAGAAATAAAATGTTACAAAACATTCCCACTAACAAACACATTATCAATCACTATTTAGAGCTCCACAATTCATTTGGAAAAAACAAAATGAGGGGATTGCTTTTTTCATCTTTTCATTAAAGAAGTTCGTCAATTTAGAATGTTCTAACTTATAACAACAATGCAGATTCATTTATAGCAGGGATTTCAAATTAGCCACACAATAACATGCAAATAAATAAGCCAAACAATTGTTTACTCACTTGGACCAACTGTTAGCTGGAGAACCCTCACGAACATGGCTGCTAGCTGACCCAATTGGACTCCCATATATCATTTCATTCTGAGTAGCATTCTCGTGAGCTATAAGGCCACCTGACAATGAAGGAAAGAAAGCACTCTGCGACCAAGGGCCATAACCACTTGAACCAGTAACAGGGCTGAAGGTCCCACCACTCTGACCATTAGGAAGAAGAACATTTTGCGGAGAATGAGTCCTGGAAATTGTGTTATCATCTTTGCTAAAAACAGAAGCCATAGTATTCTGAGATGATGGAAGTACAAAGCCATCCTTGTTTGGTACATTCCTTTGCGAGGATAAGAGCCAGTTTCCTGGGCTGCCGACCAAACCTAAACCTTCCTGACCAAGTGGTGAAGTACTCCACATCTGCCATGTTCCCTTTTCATTTGCAGCTGCATCATCCAAAGGAAATGCATGCATGTCTTTGGCCTGGGGGGTACTTGGAAACCGATTAGAATAGATAAACTTTTCTCGGGACAATGGGGACTCAATTGGAGATGGCTTATTGACATCAGAACCAGCAGATGTGTTTTTTAAAGAGTGAGGCTTCGGTACTTCCATGTCTGTCCCAAAGCCACTTCCCAAGTCCAATTGAAAATTATCAAGTGATTCAGAAACAGGCCCAAGCAAGGATAACGGATCTGGAACATAACAGGGGTCTTCAAAAAGCTCTTGCTCTTCATGTCTAAAGTCATTTGATGGATTTTCAACTGGAGAGAATAAGGGTTCAATTGCAGGAGAAAAACCTAGACTACTACTGGTTGATCCATTTGGATAGGTGGAAATATTAAATGGTGATGGAAGACCAAAGTGAATTGGATTATTAAATGATTGTGTAACTGTTGACTGGCCAGATATCTGAGGGCTTTTGGCTTCTACTTGAATTTTGGAATTTGGTCTACATATTACATTTGAATTTGAGGATTGAGGAACAGGTGAGGAACGAGTAAATAATTGCTGCCATGACTTTTTAGGGGCAGTCCATGGCTGTGGTTCTGCGAGAACCTGCAAGGAACAATCATCATGTTAATACTGTTTTCTTTACAGAAAATTTGTTAAAAGCTGCCTGAGATTAACATAGAACATCTGATAATTTTGTTCATAAATCTCAAAGATTGAAATATTAGAATGTGGACAAAAGACCAGGAAGGTAGAGAAAAGAGAGACATTAGGATATAATGCTAGTTTCTATCAAAATTTAATTTATTCATTTTAAAGTAATTAGTATTCCTACATCAATCAACCTTCAACAAAGCCAACAAAAACCGTATTAAGAAAGGCAAAGAAAAGGGGACATAAAGCAAGATAACTTACAGAGTGATTGATATTCCTATCATTTCCATTCAAATTGGATTTTGCAGTTGTACGTTCAGGAGGACATATGTCTCTCCTGCTGGCAGCAGTTTGAGCATGATCAACAAAACTGTTAAACTTGTTTTCTTTCACCCCAGTGGCAGAAATATTAGTACCCCTTCCAAAACCAAATGCTTTTGAAGAAGACAAAATTGTACCCCGCATACGATCAAGGTACCTGGTTCCTGTACTTCCTCGGTTAAAACTGTTTGCAGCGACATTTTTAATATGTGCATTGTCTGTAATCTGTCCCTTGCCACTCTCTAACCCAGATTTATGATGCTCCTTACGATCAGTTTCACTCTTTTTGTCAAAGTCCCGCTTTGGTTCATTTTCCTTGCCAGCTCTTCTATCCAGTTCTTCTACATCAGAGTTGCTCTTACTAGACCCTTTATCTTTATCTTTTCTTTTTTCCTGACGCTTCTTTTCAGTTTCCTTCCTACTGCCTTTCTCCTTACTGGGATGAGATGATTTACTGTGATCTTTCTCAGCTTCCATTATCTCATCTCTCAGCCTCCTACGCTCCTCTACTAACCTTGCAACCTCCTCCCTCTGTTTTCTCTCTTCCTGCTCCAAAAGTTCTTTCTCTAGCCTAGCCTGCCTTTTCTCCTCAGCTTTCCTGCGTGCTCTTTCCCCTTTACTTTCATTGAGGCTTTCCCCATTCTCACCTCGTTTTGCTAAGAGTGCACGTTCAGCATCAGATGAAAATTCTTCCCTCGAACTAATTCTAAAAGTCTTTATCCAGAGCCATCTAATGCTCAAGAAAAAAGTTGTCAAAAGCTTGCAAATAAAAGAAAACATACCGGAATAAGACCTCTTTGTCAAACAATGCTCATCTCCAAAAAGACCAGCATTCCTGTTCGTCCTCCAGTTGCTAGGATTACCTAAAATAGACCCACCGACCCAATTGCCATTCTCCGACCAGTCATGACTGCACATCCACCCATTTTCAGACCATACCTTGCTATTTAATATCTTGCCACTTTTTCCAACCAAGTCCTTAACTATACCAGAACTTGAAATCCTCAACTCTGGAGACCCAGGCAAGTCTAAAACCGGTCTCTTTGAAACATGCCCACAATACGAACACATAAACCGACCCCCACCAGGGTTCTGATCCCTATAGGGATTCAAGCAATTGCGACACCGCCTAGTAGCTGTCTTCCTTAGCTTCTGCATTTCTATAGCCTCAAACCTCTTCCTCTCCCTAAGCCGTGCATTCCTCCGCACCCGCCAAGACGAAAGCTGAGGCATCAAAATCTCATACCAAAAGAGAGTAACCAACAACACAAAAACACAAGCCAGACGAGGCGAAGTAACCTCGAAGCGAAAAGCGGGTGGCAGAAGCTGAGAAAGCGCCCACAGACAAACTAATGGAATAACCAACCAAGGTAGCATTGTAGCAACCCGGCGAGTCCACTTCTGAATCACACACAGTATACACATTATCCTCTAGCCCACGCCTATCTTCCCCGTCTCAAATCAAACCCTAGGAACAATCCAATTCCCCTATATATATATATCCTCAACAAAAACCAGTGCTTTCAAGAAAACCCTAACCCTATTATACTTTATCCCCCCTCCTCCAAATCAATATCCAACAACAGAGTTAGATGCAGAAACTTCAGAACCCTAGAATTTCAAACCGAAAAAGACCAAAAACAAAAAGTTAAATCAGAATCCTTCATAGTAAAAGGGTAGTTACAAAAAATACCCTATTGTCGCAGCTATAGAGCTCCATCTATGGTGATTTTGACATCAATCGAAAGAGAAATGAAATGGGAATCGAGCACTTACAGATTTGTGTTAGAAACACCTGAACGGGTTCGGAGCTGAACTCCACTCGTCCGATTCGGGTCGGTGCCTACGTCGAAGGTGGTTTTGGTGTTTGGGGTCTGAAGAAAAAGAAAGAAAAAAAAAAAACAATGCGAAATGAGATAAGAACAAAAAGACAAAGAAGTAGAAGAAAAAGCTAAAAACAAAAAATCGGAATAAGCAATGTAATAAGTGAACCGGTGATTGGACCGGTGAAGGTAACCGAACCGGGTCTTAATCTAATCCATGAGCTTATTAAACCCTTAAAAAGTTAAATTATAGGATAAGCTAAACCGAAGTTAACTCGTGTGACTCGATTCGTTTTAACGACTTAGCTTGTGAATATTAGTGAATAGCTTCGGCTTACTTGTTAATCAAGTTAAGCTTGAGTTTTCACTTAATGGCTCATCAGCACGTGACTCGACTTAATGTATATCTTTATTTTAGAAAGATGTAAATGGAAAGTAGAAATAAAACTAAAAAGGAAAAAAATCAAAAAGTATAAAATTATCAAGTTGAATTGAGGAACTTTTATCGAATATCAATATATAGACAGATTAATTTTATTTGAGTATATTGTTCTTTCCGGATTAATTTCTTAATTGTTAAGGAAGCATTCCGGGTCTTCTTTAACTTTTCTCCAATTTAAATACTAAATTGAGTTATAATCAATCATAATTTATCCTATTAATTAGGATATTTATTTATTAATTGTATTATATTTTTAATTGATTAATTTTTCGCTCAAACAATTTTTTATTTGATTTTTCTTCCCGCATGTCTCATTCAAACTTTTATATATTTTAACATTGTCTAATTAATTTTTAATTTCCAACTAATTTGGTGATTATCTGATTTAATTTGATTCCAACATGCCTAATAAATTTTTTATTTTGGACATCTCATGATTTGATGAGACTGCAAGTCAAAAATCATAGCTTGTTTATCTCGAAGCACACACACACAACACTTACCATAAACACTCCATCTCATTTTCTCATGCATAGCCAACTCTACATATTAATGATTTTATTATATATCTGATTAATTTGATTTCAGCATGTCTAATTAATTTTTAACTTTGAACATCTCTTAATTCGACTGAGTCTGCAATTTAAAAATCGTGGCATGTTTATCCCAAAGCACGCTACGCTCACCTTGAAACAATCTTCCAAAGAGTTGTTGGATTTGGGTAAACTCACATATCATTTATTACGCACCACATTTCAAAATACTTAATATGTTGTGTCACACATTTTTTAATACTCATCAACACTTCGATTCAAACATTCCAACACACGTTGCAGATATTCAAAAAAGGATTCGAATGTTGCGTTGCGTTATTTTTTTAGCGCCAACTATTAGATTTGTTGGATTACGATTATCATTTTATTGAGTTAAATATAAATATTTAGGATATTTTATATTTTTTGCAAAATTGATGAGTATTATAAGTTCAGCTTTATTTTTTTGTTAATTATTAAATATTAAATATAATATACACTATGTAAAATAAAAATATTTTAATATCAAAATTTGTCTTAACATGTCAAAATCTAATATTTTTTAGAATTAACATGTCAAAATGTCGTATCATATAGTATAGTTTCAACATAGCATATCATATTTCATTCTCTCATGCATAGTGGCTCTTACAAACAAACAAAAACAATCGGGTAAACCGACATAAATGATTTTATTATATATTTGATTTAATTTGATTCAAGCATGTCTAATTAATTTTTAACTTTGCGCATCTCATAATTTGACTGAGACCGCAATTTAAAAATCATGGCATGTTTATCCCAAAGCATGCACACAAGATAGTTAAATTTTCGATTTAAATTTGCGCTTTTATGATTTTAAGATTTTTTTAATCAAAATAACTTTATCAAAAATTTCATATGCTTTTACGTTTTTATAATATTTTATAATTAATTTTATGTTTTACGATTTTTATTCTCCTTCCGATTTTAGATAAAATTTCAATTTTAGCTACCATGCACATAGCACTCACCATGAACACCATCATAGCTCACAGTCTCATGCATAGCCAACTCAGTTAGATAAATGCACACGAATAATTTTATTATGTATCTGATTTAATTTGATTCCAACACTTGTAATTAATTTTTAACTTCGGACATCTCATAATTTGACTCAAGCCACAATTTAAAAATTGTGGCATGTTTATCCCAAAGTACACGCACAACACTCACCATGAACACTCCGTTATAGCTCATGCTCTCATGCATAGTCAACTCTTCCAAAAGGTCATTCGATAAATGCAAATGAATAAATTTATTGTATCTTTTAACACATGACATGCCTTAAAGCATCCTTCACGCTTATTATTCACATCCTTATAGCATAGTAACGCACAACTCAACAAGATTTCTTTTGCATAAGGTATCCGTATATTTATCTTTTGAATTTGAATGGAATTCAAGTAGTTTGGATCTATCAAATTATGGTATCTCAGTTGGTGTCAAAGAACTAAACAGGTGGGGTGAGAGTATGTGTTTGATCCTCTCCAGTACTATCTTTGAAAGGAATTTAAAGTCTTGATCCCCGACTAACCTCGAATCGGACTAGTTGCGAAGCTTAAGTCAATAAAGATGACCACATTAGTGATTTAATAATATATCTAACATGCAAAGCAATTATTTCAACCAAAAACTTAAGTTGTTAAGTGAAGATTGGCCACAATAATGGTATTTAGATTATATTTCTCTAACATGTCCCCTCACAATAGCACATTGGCTTTGAAGGGTTGATAATGTACAAGTTCATCTACCTATGTTAAGAAATTCCACAATATTTAATAATTTATTATTAGAATGAGGGTGGTAAGGATCAAACTCATGATCATCTGGTTACGCGCGCTTTGATATGATGTAAAGTAAACATTTCAACCTGAAAACTTAAGCTTTTACATGATAACAGAGCCCTTATGACCCAAGTGGTTACTAGTTCGATTATCATCGCCCACATTCTCGTCATAGGTCTGTGCATTGCCAAGGCTCTTTCGTGAGAAGAAATATTAGAAAGATATAATATAAAAAATATTAAAAAAATTAATGTGACATTCAGCTAACAACTTAAACTTTTGAATTAAATTGATATTTTACATCGTCATGGCTTAATTTTTATTTTTATTTTGGTTTATGGCCTTTAAGACTTTAAGTCTAGGTGTTCATGTGTTGATATGTTTAAGTGCTTGTTAGGCTTATTTTTAGAAGAAGAAAAAAAAGGGAAGATAACAAACAAGTTAAAATAATGCAAAATTTGGTCAAAATTAGCATAGTGTGAGATGGTTCTTTTCGTGAATTTTCATTATGAATTTCTTGCTAGCTTTATGACTCAAAGTATCATGTTTAAAGTAAAAGGATGCAGCTTACCAAAAAAAAAAAAGAGTAAAAGGATGCAGAAATAAGCTTTTGAAGAGTTTGGATTCACGTCTTAAATGTTTCTTCTTCTTTTTTTGTCATGGATGTGAAGTAAAATCAAGCTAAGCATGATTTATGTGTGATTCCTTGTGGTGGCTTGAGGTATTTTTGGCTAGGGTTTGTTTTCTTTTCTTTTCTTTTTATTTTTTATTTTTTTTGGGTTCGCTGAATTTTAATTTTCAAGGGAGAATGTTTGAAAGGAGATTTTAAAGGAGCCCATGTATTAGCCATCGTGGGTCTTGGGTGTTTAGTTGTGAGTGGGTGTGGGCTTTTAATGCTGATGTCTATTTCCATTTGAAAGGTTAGAAGTAACGATTCATACTTGTATTTCTGTTAATGGATTCTAAAGGCAAGTCTTCCTTCAAGACTTGGGCTTTTTATTGATTAGTTTGTTAAAAAAAAAAAAAAGTAAAAACAAAAAATATGTCATGTTTCTTTAATGATTTTGTTAGAGGTATTTTCCTTGTTGGATAGGTAATTTTTGCCAATTGATTGTTTATTTTAACTGCTGGTATTTATCATGTGTTTATTTATTTTATCTTGTTATCTTTATCTTTTTTTTTTTTTTTGTATTAATTCATCGATTATTTGATTAATTCGGTCAAATTAAATGAGTTTATAAAGGTTTGATTTTTTTTAAATATATGCAATAACTGTTATCCACAAATATCATGAGGATTATAAGGTTTTAATAATGAATTTATTTTAAAATAAAATATTTAAATGTTATGAGTTTTAGCTTAATGATTTCATTTTTAAAATGGATATCCCTTTTGTAGATATTATATTTAATGCTCCTGGGATATTTTGGATTCAGTAAGACGGAGGAAAGAGAGAAAGAGAGATAAATGAGATTAATAGAGAAAAAATGAGAGAAGGAAAAAGAATATTCTTTCATGTGTCATTCACTTAGTAAAAGGATTACCACAGTTCTTGATCATATTAAAACATTTCTTTTCTTTTTTTTGTATAGGTTTTCATTTTCTAACTATTTATTGACTTTTCTATCGCTTCACTTTCATTAATAAATCTGTCATCTATTATTTTAACATAGCCTTAGATTAGCTTTTCGGTGGCAATTGTGTCTGAATTAAACTCTATTAGTTAATACATAAAACTATAATCAACTTGTTATTTTACAAATGAAACTCGAGGCCTAGAGTTAACTTGCTTAATTAGGTTAAATATTTGTAATTTATTAAATTTGCTCTTTTATATTTATTTTTTCCGTGATGTGAATGCAAGCAAGCAGACTGCAATGTTCAGAAGTCAAAACTCAAAATGCCACCGCCAATCTCGCCTCCCCTGTTTGATTGAATTCAGGTGCTCCGCGATTGACTTCGCTCACTTCCGGACAATATGAATTATTTTATCATTGCTAGCCGAGTTTAGTTTTGGTCTTACAAAATTAAATTTATGTTTAAATGTATTAGACTGATCAAGTCTATTATAATATAATTATTGACATGTGACTTTGCTTATTTACAAAAAATAAAATCTTGGTTTAGTCTGTTTAAAAAAAAATAAAACAACAAAAATTTATCTAAATAAAATATACAATCAACAACACTAGTAATTTCATTAATATTCATAAATTCAATATATATCCAAACAACATAGTATATAACAAAATCATTCAAAAAAATTGTTAAACCAATAAAATGAGATGAAATAAATTGATAAGGGAAAAGACTATTATAAGTAGTATAAAAAATATAAAATAAAAATTTATATATTAGGTCAGCCTGAGAGGCTCTAAGACCGAGCTTCTGAATTAGAGTCTGATGCATTTTTATTAAATGAGTTTTGATACAAGTTCAAACCTGATTTGAACAACTAATTTGAAACATATAAGCTTATGCTTTCACGAGTCGAGACAAAGCCCCGGTTGATTTTGCACCCTTACTAGTTAAGTAGCTTCTTTCCACTATGTTAATTTATAAGTTCCAATATACCTTAATTAATTGTTTTGAAATAATCTATAGCTACTGTCATTTTTATAATGAAAAATAATTCAGATTAATATAAGTCTTACATTTATTATTACTTGTTTATCTCATTTGCACATAACACGCTGTTTTATGTTATCTCATTTTTTAAAAATGGTTAAGTAAATAGCATTTGCACTTTTTTATTCATAAAGTTATTGTATAATAAAATAAAAGTTATGAAATAAATATTCGTAATATAATTTAAAATAAAGTTTAGACATGGTATAGTCCTCATTATTCCCTTGCCTAAGTATTGAACCAAAACAACAATCAAGACTATTAATTAGTGTGAAAATATTAAACGAAAGCATACTTGCTAAATATTTCCTTCTAGAACTGTCACAATATTAGGCTATCCCTTTGAGTTGGGGCCAAAAACCTACATAGCCAAAAGACCCACAACATTATGAACTATGAAGTCTCATACGGGTCAAAAGCACTTTGGGCTAGGACCAACTGCTAGCTATCCATAATTATAATTTAAAAAAAAAAAACTCATTTCTTTAATTAAATTCGATGCATTCAAAACTATTTTAATTAATAAATATTTAATACTTTGATAAAATATATTATACAAAATATTAATTTTTCATAACTTAATTTTTTCAATAAAATAATATTTGCAAGCAAAACTATAGCGAAATATGCAAAATTTTAATTATTTTTCGAATAATCCTTGAACAGTTAGTTGAATAACAAAAATATTAAAGTCATCGCTTTTTATTATACTGTGGAATCATGATATTTATTATTAATACTTATAGTGAAGATTTTTGTTATTTAATAAAAAATTTCTATATAGGTGAAAATTTTAATTATCTGATTTTTTAAGTAAAAATTTGTTAAACAATATTTCATACAACACTCTCACTGTCTTTGTTATAACAAATCAAATAATGTTTAAATTTTAAATATTTTTTTTATTTTTAAAAGTATAAGTGAATGTTCATAGCTATAAAGTTATTCTGTGTTGTTATTTTAGATTTTTAGAACATAGTTTTTATTTTATAATTAACAAACATCCAATTGAAAACTTAGTTAAATGATAAAAAAAATGTAAACATAAAAATCCTATTAAATTTTTTTAAATTATATTATTTAAAATTTAATTATAAAAATTACAAAGTAAATTACCTACTTATAAAGCCTTAAAGACAAATACTGAGAGTTTATTATTTGTTATTTTATTTAAAAGAAAAAGAGAAATATTTAAAATACTTTGGAAAAAGATTCTCTCATATTTAATTTTAACATGATTAGGTTATATGAATCTAACCATTCAACGACATATCAACAATCACGAATTAATTTGAATATTTCTTCATTTTAATTTATGATTTTTGTTAATAAAATAATGATCATTGATATGTTATTGAATTAATGTTCAAAATTCATCACATAACGTGATCATGTTAAAAACTTAAAATCGGATATTGATGACCTTTTCTTATAGGATTTATCCTTCCGAGCAATATTAATTGTTGATTACTAGGCAAATAACTTTTTTTAACATTCCAAACTGTTGGATTCAAATTTGGATCATCCACGCAATGTAAATCCATATTTCAAAACAAGTTTATCTCTTATATTATTTAAATTTTGATATAATTAAGTGTATTTTTTTTTTGTGAATATAATTAAGTGTATTTTTAAGTTTTGATATATATAATATTCCAGATTGAGTATAAGATTTATTGTTCTTACACCGGTGCTAGAAGATACTGCCTATATTAAGATTGAGTATAATATTTAATATTCTTACACAGGAGTAAGAATATCCTATATATATAGAGATTTATATTTTTGCAGCTGTTGTATGCGCACAATCAAATACTTGTCATATATATACGTGAAAGCATTAAATGCGAAAATATTAAAGTTATTAAAAATTTCTCTCTTTTTAGAAATTGTTTGCTGATATGAAGAGAAAAAAATAATTTTCGTATTTTTACTATGTACCATAGTGAAAATCGGTTGCGACAAAAAAAAAAATTCTTTATTGAAAGGAGAAAATTTGAATCCTTGGTTTACGGAAAATGTAGTTCTCCTCTCAATGGAGAAATTTTTTTCTGCAACAATCGATTTTCATTATATATTTCCGAGGCTACATAATGAAAATATTAAAGCTGCAAAAAATTTATCTCTCCTCAGAAATTGTTTGCTGACATAAAGAGAGAAAAAATGATTTTCATATTTTTACTATATACCACGGACGTATATAATGAAAATCGGTTGCCGCAGAAAATTTCTTTTCCATTGAAAGGATAAAATTTGAACCCTCGGTTGTTGTTTTTTGTTTTTTGGTAAAATGAACCCTTGGTTCAATTGGTTAAATTTTTAGTTGAATCATACTTAAACTATGATTAAAATAGATGATGTTTGAACCCGAAACATAACCGGTTTATGGTTTGATTGGTTTAAATGAGTTGTTAAATTCAGTTTTCTTTTTATTATTATTATTTGGTACATAAGAGTTTAGTACTTTAGGTGAAGGTAGACACTAATATCTCACTTGGATCACGGTAGATCCCAATCTCTTTAAGAATATAATCATTTTAGTTTAATTAAAATGTTACTTAATCCCTCCCAAAGATTTATTTTAACTTCCTCTGAATGCAAAAAAAATTTTTTTTTGGAGAACTAGCCTCACCATGATATGAATATTCCATGCTCGAATATAATTACCTTAGGAGAATAAGTGTGGTTTATAAAAAAAAAAAAAAAATCTCTAAACAATAATTATTCATGAATCCAAGTTCACAATATTTATGAACATCTCGTTGCCTTTACCTGTATCTTGCCAACAAAGATCATCATCTCAATACTACGAAGTATGAGTCATACGCAATATTAAAATCATTAAATATGAGTGACATTCACATACAATGGAGATGAAAACCAGGGAACATTATGTGCAGCATTTCAGTTGATGGCTTCTCTATTCAGTATTTTTCTTCAGTCCCTATTTGTATTTTTTTTCTCCATTGTTATTAGAATTGTTGATTTACTGTATATCAAGGTTAGTTATATTTGTGTTTCTAATATACCAAAACAAAGAGTGGCCCATATGCACATGGGCAACCTGTGACAAACTCAAGTCAATAGTAAGTTCCTCTGCCGACAAATTAGTTTAATTCAAACAAATGTTTGGTTGTTGGGTATCCTTCAATCTCTCCTTTCTGGCAAAGAGGGTCTCTTAAGATCTTTTGCATCATATTAAAATGCTCAATTAAATTCTCTTAAGAAAGTAACTACACACAAAAAGTAGTTACTGTTTAATTATATGATGTGACAGGGAAATCAATAAAAAAAAATTCATTTAGATTTGTGTGCTAAGTTCACTTACTATCAAGGTAGGTGCACCCTCGTTATGCATTTGATTAGTGACAGAAACTGAAGATATGTCCCTTTATGACTATGGATATTTTATACATGAATCTGTGACACACGAGAAATGTTGAAGCAAAAGGGAACCTCAAGTATATACAAACGTCCTTTGCCTACACGACACAATAACAAAGCCACTGGTAATTGGAATGAAGCCAAATCATTTCAAATGGAACAGCAATTCGTGCCAAATTAATAGTATGAGAGTAACTTTTACCGGTTTTTGCTCTTTGCAATAAATAATCACGTAGAGAAAGACAAAAAAGGAAACAACCTATACATGCTAAAGTGGTCTTGTTTGGGAAAAAACAACAAAAATAAACTTCTTTGTCAAAGATGCTGAAGTAAGATGTTTCTTCTACCCCTCCACTCTTGTAAAAGGAACATCAAATACTCATAGCTACAAGAAAATCTCCAAATTTTCTGTTAGAAATTAGCAATAGTTTTACTACTAAATGTCGTTTTTAATCTCCCATGTTATCTCTCTGATTATTTGTCTATTATCACAACAACAACAACAACAACAACAACAACAACAACAAAAACAAAAAATAATAAGAAGGCCACGGAAGATTCAACAGTTCTTGCTTAAAATTAAGGTCCACAAAGACAATGGAGCCATTCTAAATGCAAAGAGGAACAATATATGACGGTTTTGACTGCATAATATGTTTAAGATACACCTTAGATGCAGAACTATTATTTGAGAGCAACAAACTCAAGACCAACACTATCCTAGAAAATTGGTTGCCATCTTAAACATGAAGAGCAAAAAACTAAATAAGATTTACACACAAACTCTAAGTGGAAGAACCTTGGCCATGCCAGATCAGTCTCTAGAGTACTGTGACAAGGCTTAATTACCTCCCTTTGTTAGCCTTAGTGATGTTATAACGAGGAATGCCAAAGCACAGTGTTGAAGTGGGTGAACTAGCACCTTCTTCTTCTTCTTCATCATCTCCCCTGAAATCAAAAGATGAACCATAGCTTAGGAAACGCCTCCTTCCAAGCTTCCCCACTGGGGCAACTTTGGATGAATCTGAGGATGACCATGAAGAAGAGGAAGGGGATGAAAAAGAGGAAGATGAAGAGGGTGTCATGATTGTTTTCTTGAGATTTAGTTTTGGGAACAGTGCCAACAAAAGATTGGATCTTGAGCACTTTTTCACTGGCTTTTTCTTCATGGTGTTAAGATAATAGGAAGGTGGAGGTGTTAGAGGAGGGAGAGTGTCCTCAGAGAATGTGTACTTGGGTGTACCAGGTTGAGATTCCCACACAAAAGGGACAGCAACAGCCATTCTGAAAGATGGTTTGGACATTGAACTTTCCTTTGAAAGAAGCCTGCTAAAGAACTTGTCATCTTGCTTAATTTGAAGGACATGATTCTTCTGGGGAGGCTCAGTTTTGGCACTAAACATCTTTGATAAGAATTTTTATACTTTGTTTCAGTTCTGAATCTTAATGGGTTTGCAGAGAAGAAGATAGAGGAGGTTTGGACTTCTGGTCTTGATTTAAATAGTAGTGTCGCATACAAATGAATGAAGTCATCACTTGCATATCTTTTTATATGCAATTACTCGATTATTGACAGCAATTGGTATTATAACTCATTGTTTAAATGACAAAGGTTCCTAGTTTCTGCACCTAATGGTTTTTGACCATTTCCCTTTGCTTATTTTATTGTATGCTTAGCTAAATTTGTGTCTATAATTTTGTGCTTATTGAGCAAGTAGTTCAATTCAGTTGAAGGTAAGCCTTAATTTGAATGATTTATTTTTGTTTAACTGTCTTAATTGTAAAAATTTCATATTATTATCCAATCACATACTGCTAAATTATTAAAAACAAGTTTAATTATCACTACATTATTTAAAAAGCCTAACTTTTTTAATGACAAAGATTCACTATAACATTCCATCACATTTAAGAAATATGGTGGAATCGATCTTTATTAGGCACACAACATAATGGTCCGATTATGGGTTAATTGCATTGTTGTGAAAATGAGATTGACATGCGGTTCAACCGGTTGGCCCAAAAATGGAATCCCTAATTGCAGTGGCGGAGCCATCAAAATATTTTAGCCAGTGTCAAAATTTTCAGCTAGTACCAAAATAGTTACAGTTATATAGCTACGTCTAAAACGTGGCTAATTTTCAAAAAAATTGAAATATGATTTGCCACGTTTATTTAGATACACTTGAAACGTGGTTAAATTAGTCAGTGCAAATGTACCTACTCGCACCAACGTGGCTCTACCACTGTCTAACCTGTCTGTCCAATGAATGGATCGTATATGCATGTGAATCGATAACGAATCGGTGAAAATCCGGACCAATTTAATGATTAAATCGACTTCCAGATTAAATCGACTGTCAGGATTCGAACCTAGGTAACATAATATGACATAAGAGATAACAATTATTTGAGATATTTTATCACAATCATAATATTTATTACATATTTCTTTATAAATTCAAATATAATGATTCAACCGATGACCTATTGATTAAATCAATAATCCACTTATCCATGTTTTTATAACATTGGTGGTTAATTGTGCTCCTTATGCAAGAATAAATAAATAAATTTAAACTCAAATTTGGATTGGGTCCCACATGAGAGCCTTCTTACATAGTTATATATAGAGACATTAATTGCTTGATGTGGCATGATATACCCAAAGGACATGCTAAATTTACGGCTGTGGATCCTCTATTCTTGCTAGCAGTCAAACTCTGAGCTAACATGGGTCACACGTGCCACCTTAAGGGATATACACTTTCCTCTCGTATTGAAATTTATTATTTTTCTCGTATTACGAGCTACTCGCACATGCAGGTTCCAGGAATTTACGCAATTTATGAAGACTGAAGAAACTAATAAATATATGGGCCATATGGGTGGTTTTTTTAATATCTCAAAGATTTTGATAATAGACCATGCATGGTTGTGAATCATGATTATCAATGGGACTGAACTAAATGAATTAGAGAGAAGATCACCTACCTGTGGTCCATCTCCAACATTTATGATAGAAACATGAGTGGACTGCAGTGGCTTTGTGTACGTGTTATTTAAGGTAAGGGCAGCTAGTACGACATGATAATCTGTATAGGTTTCATAGAAGTAGATATGTGTGTGTGAATGTCATAAGCTAGCTGAAGTTTATATAATGAGTAAGGATTTAAGAAACCATCACTTCAAATCTCTTTCCTTCTCATAACAAGAAACATAACAATTTTCAATAATATCATTGTATTCTTAATTTGTCATGAACTAATCTCAAATTATGATTGGCAATAGATAAATCTTGGGAATCCAAGCAGTGAATTATCATATTGGTTAAAAAAGAATTAAGTGAGAATCATTTAAATGAAAATCTATAAATTTAATATCTTAATATTTTGAATTGAGATATAATGTGAGATTACTTATTGTGATGGATTGCAAATTTGCAATTTAACTATTTGGTGATGATTCCCTTCGATGCATAGACTCCCATTGGAACCCCAAGATACTTCCCTAAATCGGAAATTAGTTGGAAGCCAAATTAAAGACATCACTTAAGTCACTATTATAAAGGGAAATTCTTCATTTGTACATAATTTTTTCCTCATAATAACATTATTATTTAATTAAACGTAAAAGAAAATTATTAATATTACATACTTTCAAATACTTCTTATTTTGTTTCAGTCTGAACTATAGTTTTTGTTATTAAAATTAAGTTTTGTTTTATTAATCTTAACTACAACTAAAAAGTGCAGATAAAAGGACATGTAGGGTTGGCAAAACTGACCAATCCGACTCGACCCGACCCGATCCGCATACAACCTGAAAAAAATTAACGGAGTTAGGGTTGACACAAAAAAAAAGTCAGAAAACCCAACCCAATCCGACCTGAGTCGGGTTAGAGTTGGCTCGCGGGTTAGCTCAAAAATATGACTAGTGGATTGGCTTGAAAAAATAGCCCGCGGGTTGGCTCGATAATTGCTCGCGAGTTGGCTCATTTTCAGCCTATTTAAATGAATTTGTAATCTATGTAGCACCGATACGACACGTGACACGACACGACACTCCGACACGTCAATTCTAAAAAATTATGGATTTCGACACGTTGGGACACGTTTTAATATTAAATAATATTTAATAATTTAACAAAAAATGAAACTAAATTAATAATACCCAACAACACGTTATAAAGATGAAAGCTTTAATAAAAAAAATAAGAACTGGGATGAGAGATATATAATATCAGATAGAGAGATCAAATCATATTAGAGAGAGATCAGAGAGAAGGAGATACAACAAGAGCGTGATAGGAATTGACAACAATGATGCTGAGATGATCTCTTATCTACTTAAGGGGGAAAAAGACAAAAAAAATAAAATTGATATGATCAGGTGGAAGCTTTATTAATATATTATATTTTTAAAAAAAATTAATTTAAAAAAAAATTAAAAAAATTACGAAAATACCATTTGACCATGTCGGACACGGTTAAATTCGCATGTCGGAATGGTCAATGTGTCGGAAAAAGTTGACCGCGTGTCCGACACCGTGTCGGAACGTGTCGCCGTGTCGGAGCGTGTCGGACACGACTCTCCCTGTTTTTACAAGTGTCCGTGCTTCCTTGTCTGTAGTATTAATGCACCAGTTATGTAGCTTCCATCAGCTTAAACAAAGGGTTACAAAATGAGAAATAAAAGCAAAGTATTTTATTTTCGAATTTTCAACACAACAAATTTGCACCAATATGAAGAAACAATCAGAACCACTTGTTATCAAGTGAGTAAGATATTTGAACCAATCAGAGCCAGCACAACCTAACAATATAAAAATGGCAGGAATGTGAGAAGATTAGAGACTTAGGTTTAGAGAAAGAAGAAAGATGATAACAACATGTGTGAGTTTTGTCTATTTTTGTATATTATATTATATTTTATATATATATAAAAAAAATTCAACCCTCGAGCTGGCCCGTTTGACCCGTGGATTGGCTCATTTTTTTGCGAGCTGACTTGGGTCGGGTTGGCAGCTCATTTTTGTCAATCCCACCCGATTTATTTTTAACGAGTTACGAGTCAACCTGACGAGTTGACTCATTTTTTGCCAACCCTAAAGACACGTGATCTCATCAAAACACCAAATACTATAAGGTCATAACATATTAACAGAATTTAGCAAAAAGTATCCAAAAATAATATAATTTAACCAAGCATAAAATCATGAGTACGTTTTAATCTGCGTGTAGAATCTTTGTAAAAGGAGTACGTTTAGCTTGGAATGTTTACCTTAACTTTGATATTCTCTTAAATTAAAGATGAATCATTTAATGGTTAATTCTTTTTTATTAAAAGAATTTTAATAATTAATCTAAGAGTTTTATAAGAGTTATGTTGTAGGAAAAATAATTGTGTAATGTTATAGAGATTCATTTTGCGTGCCGTAGTTTTTTTTGTTTGTTTGTTTCAAAAAGTGTGAACCCCACAAAATATTGTGTGTGTAAGAAACTTTGTTGTGTCATGTTAAATGATAAATGCAAACCCCTTAATATAAATAAAAGTTTTCATACAAAATCACTCCCTAAAAGAGTAACATGTTGTTATCAAAAAAAAAAAAAAAGAGTAACATGTGCCGGTATGCAGCGGAGTGTGACTTAACGAGGATAAACTCGTGCGCGTATGCATGACGCGTACATTCCATCAACTCATTTTAATTCATGCGGTTTCAATGTATATCCTAATTACAAGTTTCATGCCACTTTTAATTATATCATATCTTATCTCTAAGCTCACATCATTCCTTCGAAGTGTCAAGTCACGATGCTCCGTACTTACGTCAGTTTGCCACAATTATTCAGTTACTTCTCTTCCAAGTTCGTTCTTTCGCTTAATTAACACAATTCTGATGGTATGTTTTTTTTTCTTAAAAAAAAAAGTCAACTCTCTTAGAATTAAATTGTTATTTAAAAATACTCAAATAATCTGATATAAAAGCTTTTTTTTTTTAAAAGTTTATCTTGTGTGAGAATATTTACTTAATTCTTAGACCCACTACAGAGACAGTGTGCAAGGCCCATGGTCATCATGATTTTGGGCCTATAATTTTTTGAATTGAGTGTTTCTCGGCCTTCTCAAATTCAATAGACAAGTTTCACTCTAGCACGGCAATGGCCTAAACATTAGCAAGCACTTCAAAATATAGTAATGTACTAATGTGTCAGTTTTACTTAATAAATAAAGGGTTTTCGTTTTATCCTTTAACATAACATAACAAACTTTCCTACACTCACAATATTTTGTGGGGTCCATATTTTTTAAAACAAAAAAATAAATAAAAATTAAGGCACGCAAAACGAATCTCTATAACATTACACAATCACTTTTCCTACAACATAACTCTTATAAAACCCATAAATAAGTAAAGGGGAGGTTTAGGGGTGGTAAACCTTTAACCCAGCTACTAAATGCTTGAATTTATATGTCTAAAATT